AGCCATTAGAACAGAGAGAGATGCAGTGGAGCTATCTGGAGGAGCATCACATTGAGCAGATGATTGAGGAGCTGCTGGATTCTGGATTGTCTATGGAGCTTTGTTCTACTTCTGTGTAGAGAGGGGAAAAAATAACATCATAGACGATCCTCTGATGCGTTATTAATGCAATGGATCAGAATCAATAGATATGTAGATTACTGAGTTAGTATAACTCGGATCAATTGAAAGAATTTGATCAATCCCGAGTTAGTAAATGACCTTATGAGTGAGGTTATTAGATTTAGGTATTGCTTGGAGAAATTGTACAGTTATTATTGCAATAATATATATATATATATATATATATATATTTATGAACGAGAAATTGTACAGTTATTATTGCAATAATATATATATATATATATATATATATATTTATGAACCTATTACTCTATTAGTTGCAGCATGAGAATCTCATTAAAGTATTTAAACGGGTCATTTTTTTGTTGACGGAACTGATTTTTTTTCCCCTTCTAATCTTTTGATTATATTATGGGATCAAAGTTAGTACCCCGGTTAAAGTAAGATTAAGAAATTGGGGAATGCAGTGCTTAGTTTTCCCTTTTAGCTTGCTAATTATTTAATGGCTTCGGTCGCCGGCAAACACAAAAATATAAGTCGGCTGGTGTTTTGTTTCTTTTTGCTTTCTGTCTTGCTATTTTTGTAAATCAAGGACAGTTGGGGGAGGTTGTCGCTAGAGATGCATTTTCTAGTGTGAAACCACCCCAAAAAAAATTTTTGTCAATGAACAGTAACTTTATTCATCTTCCAAATGTGAAAATACAGCATATCAAGTTCTCAGCTGAACTGAGAATTTCAAAACATTTCAATACAACTTACATCTCTTATACTCAAGCCTACAAGCACATAACCATTCTCTATTTTCAACAGCAAAAGGACCATTGAGAATAACAGCAAATATGATGAATTTAATCTCTGTAAACAGCTGATCAGTTGACTTCAATTCATGCCTAAAAATCCTGGCATTTCTCTCATTCCATATGCTATAAATTGTCGAGGTGAGAGCCAACTTCTTTAGCTTTTGCTTAAAGCCTCTCCCCCTCAACCTGGAACAAAACTAGTTCAAAACTTGATCCCATTTGCATGATCTCCACTTGAATTGCAACCAATTCATAACCATGACCTAGACATCACTAGAGTAGCAGCATTCGAAAAAAAGATGATCCCTATTTTCAAAACCAGAGCAAAAACTGCAACTGTTTGTGTTAATAACACCCCTCCTAATCAGTCTATCTTGAGTGAGCAAACGATTCTGAATTGCTAACCAAGTGATAAATGCATGTCTGGGGTAGTTAGAGGACTCCCAAACTGTGCCAAACCAAGGCACCGAAATTGATACAGGGGAGAAAGCATCATATAGAGCAGACAGTTGTATTTTTGAATTCCTACCAAGGCACCGAAATTGATACAGGGGAGAAAGCATCATATAGAGCAGACAGTTGTATTTTTGAATTCCTACAGCAAGACTGAATAATCAGCTTCAGATTGTCAACACTTCCCAAAATTCCCAGGGCCTTATCTCTGACCTTCAAGATCTGTCTCCACATCCACGAATCACTATTTTTTGCTTGAATATGCCAGACATCATAGTTTTTTAAATATGTACCATGTTTCCACTTGATCCATAGATTTTCTTTGTTTACATGAATATTCCAGAGCAATCTCAGTGTTGAGGCCATACTCCATATAGATGCAGAATAGATGTCAAGGCCTCCAAATTTCTTATTCAAGCAAATTTGATCCCATGAAATAAGAGGAGTTTTGAGAACTTGTTCAGAACTGCCCCAAAGAAAATTCCTGCATAATTCATCAATTTTTTGAAGCACTCTCACCGGCAGAACATAATTTGAAATCCAGTAGTTTTGTATACCAAGGATAACACTTTTGATTATTTGTAATCTGCCTGCATAAGACAGAAACCTGTTTTTCAAACAATTCTGGAATTGGCCTGTTATCTTGTTGAAGAGAGTGGAGCAATCCATGTATGATAGTCGTTTACAGGTCAGAGGAACACCCAGATATGTGATGGTTAAATCTCCTAGAGGGAAATTTAGAAGCCTTGAAATAAGGCCTTTCAAATTATCATCAATGCCTCCATAAAAAGCCTTGCATTTCCCAGGATTTGCCTCAAGACCTGATACAACACTAAAATGCTTGAAACAGTTGTAGAGCATATTAACTGAGTGAAGGTCACCTTTGGAGAAGAGGAGAAGATCATCCGCAAAGATTAAATGAGTGATTTTGAGATTTCCACATCTAGGATGGAATTTAAAAGACTTGTTATCCTTGAGTAGATCCAACTGCCTTGAGAGATACTCCATACCCAAATTGAACAAGTATGGTGAGAGGGGGTCACCTTGTCTTAAACCCCTCTCTCCTTTGAAGTAGCCATGAAGGGTGCCATTGAAAGAAATGGAATACTTGGGAGTAGTAATGCAGGTCATAATCCAATTAACCATCTTGACTGGAAAACCAAGGCCTTTAAGCATATCATTTAGAAAATCCCAACTAACAGTGTCAAAAGTTTTTTTGATATCAATGCTCAACATAATTCTGGGAGAGATGTTCTTTCTACTATAGTTTTTCACTATCTCTTTTTTTGATATCAATGCTCAACATAATTCTGGGAGAGATGTTCTTTCTACTATAGTTTTTCACTATCTCATGAGCTAGTAAGATGTTACTTGAAATTTCTGGGAGAGATGTTCTTTCTACTATAGTTTTTCACTATCTCATGAGCTAGTAAGATGTTACTTGAAATTTTCCTACCTCTCACAAAAGCATTCTGAGCCTCATTAATCAAAAACCCCATAACAGGTTTAAACCTGTTAGCTAGAATTTTAGAAATAATTTTATAGAGGTAATTACAGCAGGCAATAGGTCCTCTTTGGACACTGGAGAAGTCAGGGAAGTAGCTTGAGCATCATCCAGACATGGACCATTTGAAATAATATCACCATCAGGCCTAGATGTTTTTGTAGATGAGCCCATGAGATTCTTATAAAAAGAAATAAACTCCTGAATAATCTCTTCACCATCAGTTAATCTGCATCCTGCATTATTATATAGTACTGATACTCTATTGAGATGTCTTTTAACTTTAATTACAGAATGAAAGAAGCTTGTACATCTGTCTCCATGCACATTCCAATGAATTCTGGATTTCTGATGATAGAATGATAGTTCAAAGTCTAAAAGTTTGTTGTACAAAGCAAAGCATTCATTTTCCTGGTTAATCAAATCAGTATTGAGAGGATCCCCCTGAAGTTTATTTTGCACATTTTCCAGATTAAATCTAGCCCTGATCACTTTCTCACTGATATTGTGAAAACTCCTTTTGTTTAAATCCTTCAGTGCATTCTTCAGTAGCTTCAGTTTGCTAGCAACAGAGAACATAGCACATCCTGCAATTGAGTTTTGCCATACAGAAGAAATAATAGGCAAATAATTTTCATGTTTAATCCACATTGAAGAATTTAAATGGCTTCTTTCCTTGTATACAGTTATCATATATTGAAACCAGAGCTGGGGAATGGTCGGAGCAACTGGGAGGAAGATACTCAACATGACTAGAGTTGTGCAAATTGTTCCAAGAATCATTAACCAAAGTTCTATCCAATTTACTCCAAACCCTGAAATTAGAATCTTGTTTATTATTCCATGTGTAATAGCAGCCTTCAGTTTTTAAATGTGACAAATGACAATTGTCAATAAAATCCCTAAAATCAGTAGTTTCAGCTTCAATAACTGCAAGGCCACCAATTTTATCCTCTTGCCCAGTTATGGCATTAAAGTCTCCAGATAGAATCCATGCCTTGTTCCCAACTGTTTGTTGAATTTGAGAAAGATCTTGCCAAAGAGCCTTCCTATTTTCTTGATGATTATGACCATATATAGAGGTAATTAAACAATCAATTCTACCATCCAAGGATTTAACTGAACAGGTGATGTGCTGGGTAGAAATCCTGTCAACATTAACATCCAGAGTATTTGGATCCCATAGAATCAATAATCTGACTTTGCTAGAATTATTAGCATTGGAAATCCACTTCCAGTTACTATGTAACTTTTTTGCTATAGCTGAAAGCTTGTTAACCTTAACTTTTGTTTCAATGAGAGCCATGAAAGAGATATGATGCTGCTGAATATGGAGCTTAACCAAATGTTGTTTAGAGGACTTGTTTAGACCTCTAATATTCCAAAAAGAGAAGTTCATATTTCTAGAACATCCCCTCATTAATATTTGAGGGGTCATCCACCAAATTGTTGAGGTGATCAAAAGAGTTTCCAAGAGTTGGAAAGGTCTTAAGTCCAGATTTTTGTATATCTGCCCAATTCCTGTTAGCTTGAGGACTTTTGCCTACTATAGATTTCCAAAACCCATGATCCTGAACATGCACAGCATGCACCAGATTATTAACTGAAGTACACAAATTTTGCTCAGCCTGTGAATGCAACCCCCTTCAACTTGATAGATTGATCCTGAACATGCACAACATGCACAGAGTCCAAATTATTGAGTCTCAAACTTTTCCGACTTGATAGATTGCATTCATCTGACAGGCCAGATTGTACTCCCTTCAACTTGAGGTTATCTCCTTGATCATGTTTATGAGCATGTACAGCATACTCAGGATTATGTATTGGGGAGCACTCTTTATTATTTATCCCTCCAATAGAATCCTCAGAAATAGGTTTCTGCATTTTCACAGTATTATCTCCACCTGAAAGCTGATCACCATTCAAGACATGTTTAATCCCTAAAATTTTAGGGTCAGCTTGATTCACAGGTTTTGATTTTTGAACCCATCTTTTAGTCATGGGGTGTCTCTTACAAAAATTTGTATCATGCCCCACAAGTTTGCAATTATTACACCATTTAGGCTTGAGCTCATAAATCACCTTTTGATTAAATTTTTTTCCATTTGGACCATGAATAGGAATTATGTCAGGAAGAGATGAAGGCATATGGACTTCAACTAAAACTCTAGCATAGGCTAGTCTTTGCTTATTTGCAGTTAGCTTATCCGTGGCAATTGGCCTCCCCACTTGGCTAGCTATTTTACTTATTGCATTTGAGCTCCACTAGTTTAATCTCAGTCCAGGCAACTGTATCCACAGGGGGTAAACATTATCATTTATCTTTTCTATATCTTCATCATTAGACCAAACTTTCAATAAGAGGGGCCTAGAACCAAAGAACCAGGGGCCATTTACTAAAATATCCTCCATTTCCTCTTTGCTCTTGAATTTGAACAAAAATAAGCCTGGCTTAAGCAGATATACTTCAGGTACTGACCAATGACACCATACTTTTTGAACATAGGTTTCCATGGCCTTAAAATTTGCATTTAATCCCAAAATATAGCCAATTAAAGAAAATTGCCAATTCAAACCACAAATTACTATATCTAAGATTATGTTGTTTTAGTTATGTTACAGCTCGTGGTGGTGGGTGATACTTGTGGTCCGCTCCTCATTTCATGTGGCATAATTTATGTTCTTAGCTCCCATTTTAAATAGGATACATTTGGGGGGATTTGGATCCTCTCTGCCACTAAAAAATTAGTGGAGAGACCGCTACATTAATGATAATCATAAATATATATAGTGGGAGGTTATAATTTACTTCATATCTAACACTCATCAAACCCCCGTGAATTGCACTATTTTCGTAATTTGAACTCAAAGGTTGTTGGGGATTTGGAACAATTAAATCGAACCATTGTCTTTCCGGACATTGTGTTTGAGAGTAGGAAAGTAGGAAAAATCGCAGCAAATAAAAGATAAAAACTTACGGGAAAAGTAACAAGAAAGAACACACCAGATTTAACGAGGTTTGGCAATCATGCCTACGTCCTCGGGAGCCACACCACACAATTCTTTGATTAATATTGAAGAAGATTACAATGCCCACAAATAGGATCTAATCTCTCTGAGATCTCTCTGAAGAATTCTCTCAAAACCCTCTTTTTCTGATGTCTAATCTCTTCTAAGGCGTTCCATATATATATAGAAAACCTAAAACTAAAACAAACTAGGAATTCTAAAACTAAAAAACAAAACAGATTAGGAATCCTAATAATATGTTATCAAAACATATTAATAATCATGTTACCAAAACAGATTAAGAATCTTGTTATCAAAACAAATTAGGAAACCTGCTATCCAACAATTTGTTTGATTCCAGCTTTGAGTCTACATCCCTTAGAGTAACAATCTCCTACTTGGAGACCAAAGCACAATCAACGAGCTCACCCGAACTCTCCCTTCTTCGCAAGCATCCTCCTACACGGAAAAAAAATCCATTCTTCAATCATCATCAACCCGGCGATCCCGTCGATCCTCCTGGTGTGGCTCCGCCTTCATCTCCTACACATAAAAGCCAACTGAAGTTGCGCACAACTCCAGTTTATCAATGGTCACGGGGTAAAATATCTTTGTATAGTCCACTCATTCCCGCTGTTGGAACCCCTTCACGACTAATCTCGCCTTGTATCTCTTGCTTCACTTACTCTCCTACTTGACCCGATAGATTCATTTCTTTGCAGGTAGCTGGACTAAGTCACATGTCTCATTAGTGTATAGAGAATCCATCTCTCTCTTGCATCGCATGCTCCTACTGCTGAGATTCACTCACTTTCATGGCCTCCTCATAACACTCTGGTTCTCCACTATCTATCAAAAGCAAATAATCAAGTGATGAGAGAGATCTGGGATTCGGTTTGGGTACTATGTATGACCTCCTAAGCTCCATGCCCTGGGTAGTCGTCTTTGCACCTGGAACCTCCTCCGTTCTTCGGTCACAATTAGCTTTGTCGCCCCCATCTGGAAGTTCCTCCAAATCTATATACTCAGATCCACCAGTATCCGTAGTGCTGCTCCCGCTACTTTGGCACTGTCCCTGTTCTTGTACATCATCTCCTTGTTGAATATCGCATCCCTGCTTCTGATGAACTTTCTGTTCTTCTCATCTCAAAGACGATACCCAAACTTATCAATATTGTATCCAATAAATGTGCACTTATGTAACTTATCCTCTAGCTTGTCCCTGACATGTTCACTGATATGAACATATGTCACACAACCGAATAATCACAAATGTGAGAGATTGATCTTCTTGCCACTCTAAACGTTCTCAGGAATCCCATAATCCAATGGAACTGATGACCCATGATTAATCAAATAAGTTATTGTATGCACTGTATTCACCCAAAATATCTTAGGCAGACCTGCATGTAATCGTATGCTCCTGACACGCTCCATCAATGTCCTGTTCATCCTCTCTGCAACGCCATTTTGCTACAACGTCCCTGGAGTAGTCCTCTCCAAACGAATCTCATTTAGAGCACAGAACCTCTTGAACTCCTCCAGCTCGTATTCTCCACCGTTGTCTGATCTTAGACACTTTACTTTCATAACTGTCTTATTCTCCATCATAGCCTTCCACTTCTTGAAGATCCCGAACACCTTTGACTTATGCTTCATGAAGTATACACACACCTTTCTCGAGTGATCGTCGATGAATGTGACATAGTACATCGAACCATCAAGAGAAGACACGCTAGCTGGACCTCATACGTCAGTATGAACTAACTCTAGTTTGTGAGCTTTAGGTAGACTTCCACCCTTCTGGAAACTAAATCTCTTCTGCTTCCCAAAGATACAGTCCTCGCAAATACCACTTTCACGGAATCAATGCCGGTTAGCTTCCCCTGTGAATGTAGAATCTTCATCCCCTTCTCGCTCATGTGTCCCACTCTATTGTACCATAGATCTGCACTCTCTTTGTCAGCTGCAAATGCGAGGGTGTCACTCGTATGTGAGGTGAGGTAGAGAGTTTATGTTTTGTTGCCTCAAACAACAACCATAGTACCGTTTGAGATCCTCCACGAATCCCGGTGAATGTCAAAACATAGCCTTCTGCTCCAAGCTGGCAAACCGAAATAAGATTCCTTTTTAGCTTCAGTACGTGCCTCACGTGTTGGACCCTAGAGGGAGGGTGATTAGGATCTTATACTAATCTAATCCGATTTTATGTTAATTAAAAACTATTAAGTTATCCTAGCAAGTATGAAATACAACATGATATGTGAGCTAGGATAAGTAATATGAACAATGAGATCAACATGATATGTGAGCTAGGATAAGTAATATGAACAATGAGATATATCCTATATGATAAAAATATATGTAAGGATATATAATATGAACAATGAGATATATCCTATATGATAAAAATATATGTAAGGATATATAAACTAACACAAGGGTAATATAATCAAACTACAAATATGATAGGGTAAAATATATAAGAGTAATAGGCAATTGGCGATACAAGATAAATGCATAAGCAAATGCGCCAAAGACAAACTCAAACACACTCAAATGATCACGGAATTCGGACCTTTCGTCCTATGTCTCCGCTCCCCACTCCCGGGGTGAAATCTACTATCACAACCGGGTTTTCTACGCTCACCCAAATAACGTTTACACCACACAATACGGTTTTCTAGTTTACCGAAAACTCTACAACTAACACACTCTTGTAATTCCACTCTACACCCTCTCAAGTATTGAACTAGATGTGTCTCTCTCAAGTGCTCGGATACAACATCTCTCTAGGTTCGTCAATCGACGCCACTCCTCTTGGGACGATCTCCGACTCTCGCCACACATTTCTCTCGGTGTATAAGTGTATTACAAAGTGAATCTCACAATAAGCACAATACAATAAATGATTTGTTCTCTAATATGGATGAGAACACAGTGAAAGCTCACACTCAATTATTACAACTCTTACCAACCCAAATATACTATATATAAAAATACAATAAGCTCAATGTGGGTGTGTGTAACAATGAGATATAAATCAAAACTAAATTCAAATAGCAAACTAGCGATAATAAGAATATGAAAATCAATAATAATATTGCTAGAGAAAAAAGTTAGAAAACTTCTCTATAAACACAAAGAGAGGATGAGAAGATATTGAAGATGAACTCCTCAACAGATGATGCAAGCTCTTCTTTGTAAAAGCAAACCCCAAAAACAAACTAAACAAACTGTAAAACCCTCTTAAACTTATTTAAAACTTTCTCCAAATCTTTTTTTGGTAGAAGA